AGAATAACACATTGGGCCATAAAATGAAATGGTAAGAATATGTGTTTCATATGTGAATTTAGCAAGTTCTACTTACAGTTTGAAAACTACATGCTAGCGTAGTACAGTATAAGAGTTATCAAACATTCTCCTGTTTCTTCTAGGTAGATCAGTCCACTGAGGCATGAAGGAGGAGAACAAATGGGCTCTGAAGTAAGAGACCAATTAAACGGACTGCTGCTTAAAAGAAACCTTAAAAACCTGCAGGCACACCAACTCTGCAGGACCAGGACTGGGCACACCTAATCTAGATGGAAGAGGAGTGAAAAGGGCAAGAGGCTGTGTAGAGAGAAGAAAGAGACCGAAGAGAGACATGAGCTGTTTGGCTGACACAATGGCAGATGTGAACTAGGATTTTGAATCAGAGGCATGCATTGACAGAGAGCCTGTAGCAGAAAAGGAGGCAAAGAAATGCTTGTGAACAATGATGAAAGGTGAGACTCCGAATCCTGGAAGCTGGAGCGGGCGGATAGTGTCGGTAGGGAGACCAAATGTGAGTTACAATAGTCTAGGCAAGACAGTACCAGGGTCTGGACAAGATGTTGTGCAGGTAAGGAGTTTGCAGATGTTGCTCAAGAAGAAGTGGCTGGAGCGCACCACAGAGGAAATGTGGGAACAGGAGAGGGATGGGTAACAAGCGATATCTTGACAAAGGAAGAGGAGGAAATGGGTGTATCAGTCAAGAGGAAAAAAGATGGCGAGGTCCACAGAGGGGGAAGAAGATGAAAGGAAAAAGACCATGAGATCAGGCAGCAAGCTGCATCCATATATATGCTTAAAATGGAGCTTGTGATCACTGGTGAAAGATTTCAGTAATCCTGTTCTGCCTCATTTCAATAATGCAGCCTTACATCCATGTCTTATGTGACTATAGCGTGGTATATTAAACCATCTCTACAATATATGGGCCATCTTCACCTACATCTTTCCAGCTCTATTAGTTTTACGATAAAAAATAAAGCTGTGATGGTTGTTATTGGTGCAATCCAATATCATTACAATAAAAATAACATGAAGAAATTAGTCCTGGTGCCAATTATTCCTGCCGGGTGTAATTACCATTGACTCAGAGCACAAACTAATTCCCTGATTTCCCCTCAGAACTCCCATGGGTTAGTGTAGGTCTGCCAGATTCAATGCACAATTATAGCTGGTTTCCACTTCTCTTTGCTCTTCTTCAGAACTCAGTTCTGTGTTCTGTGTTCTCCTTGCAGAGGAAGAAGTACGTCTTGGTACAATTTAAGATGTACTTCCACACAGTTTCCACTTGTACCCTCAGGTTTATGTTTCACTTGTCGTTTGGAAGACGTCCACTGGGTTGACTTTGTCAAAGTCTTTTAGGATTTTGAATATTTGTCTCAGGTCCCCTTGTAGTCTTCTCTGTCCAGAACTATGAAGGTTCAGGTCTTTCAGCCTGTCAGTGTGGGACACTCCTTTAAGCCCTGTAATGTATCTAGCTGCTCTTCTCTAGACAGATTCCAGCAATAGTTTTTCTTTTACATTGTGATCAAAATAGTACATTATATTCTTAATGATTCCTTACTAGTGTGTTATACAGTTTTAAAAAAAACATAATTTGATTCACATTCTATGCTCTTAACTATACTGTATGTCCTAACAATTTGTTTGCTTTTGTAATTGCTTCCTCGCTTACAGAAAATATAAAAGATGTGTCAACATAAACATCTACGTCTTCTTAAGAAGTAGAAAATTCTCACTCAATGTTTCACATTTTGTATTTATAATTTGTTTTTACTACCTGCATGTAATACCCTGCACCTGTCTACATTAAAAAGAAAAAGTTCCTGCACACTGTGCAACGTGTTAGTCACACTTGATCATATTTATAACAGGTGCGTAATAATAATCTGTGAGATTTACAGTACACAGCACAGTTTCTGTTTTCATGACAACTTTAAAATAGGACAAAAAAATCTGGACACACTTTTTTATATTCCCTTTTTCCCAGTGTGGAAAATAGATTAATGTTTCATAGGATTTTCTTAGGATTTCAGCTTCTTGAGTTACCTTCATGGCTAATATGTCTCTTGATATTTCAGTGAGTTGAAATGCATAGACTGAGTGTTAGCTAGGCAGCAGGACAAGCAAAGATTAAACTATTCCAAGCCTGTGCCAAATAGACTGTCTTCATGACGCCATATGACCTGTTTATAGCAGTCCGCGAGAGGAGAGAGAGCAAAGTATTGATTTTCATTGCTACTCAGTAATTAGGCATGTTCTAGCCTGCAGCATACTGTATATTGCATACTGCATTGCAATTGAGGTGTGTGTCATTCCATCGCATGCGTAACATTTACATCCATTTGTCAGAAATGCATTCATGTAGAAAGGTATGCACATTACACACATGTACATGCAAAAACATAAAAGTTACTGCCTGAAGCGCTGCATTTAATATCTGCAGTATAAGTTTAAACCACCTACTTGGATCTATGGCTTTGTATCAGGTCCTGTTCAGCACTCCACTGTGAATACACCATGAATTTCTCAGTGTAAAGAGTAACTAATGTTTCTACTGTAGCTCCAAGACACATAGCCTCACTAAAATATTGGACGAGGCTCCATCTAAGACAAGACAAGCAGTGTGCTGAACTTTTCTCTTGAGGTTTAAATCACTTGCAATATTTGAAACCAGGCTTACTCTTTGAAAATTGTAAATACAAATATGAAAGAATGGTGGTTAGAGAAAAAGTAAATACAACAGAAACTGATTATATGTTCCTCCAAGAAGCTCTTAACATAAAGTCACACTTCAGAAAATGCTTGGAGGTGCCGTTAGGGCTGCATTTGAGATTAATAAGCATGAGGAGCATGATTCTGCAGATTAGACTTTCATTAAACCAAATTAAACCCAGTTATATCCTGTTCCAATTCTTAGGAATGTTTTGAAACTTTTAACCCAGAGTATGCCAAGGATTATCAAGACCAAATAAGAACACAGCCAGTCTGAATGCCCTAGGGATCAAAGGTGCCCTTTGAATTAGTCTAACCTGTTAGATAGGGTTCAGGTTATCTCCCCTATATGTAAATTCACTGCTTAGTGATCCCTGTGCTGTGCTGCCTCTGTCAGATGAATTGGCTAATAGGGAAAGAATGAGCACAAGGGAAGTCAGAACATCAAGATATAACCAGGTATGTGTTTTTAAAATGTCAAGTTTTCTTTTCTGAGCTGATAAGCAGCAGGAATACAAAGCAAGATTTTTTCCCTGTACTGTGTGAGGTCACTGCTCAAAGCTATGTCCTAAAAAACAGAAATGTCAGTAGACCTACTGCGCCTAATTACATTTTGCTGCAGTTAGATGCTGTTTATTTAAATTACTTTGCTAATATATGCAACCTCAGTAAACTCAGTAAAGACTTCAGTATTCTCCCCACTGTTACACATGCACAAATCGATCACTAATAAATACAGTATATGAAGGATAAAAGCAAAGTGAATTCTAAAGGAATTCTGCTGTTCCAATACCTTACTAAGGTCTGTTTCTCTGGCTACCCCCTGCTCTCCAGTAAGAGAACTAAACTACAGCCGTTACGGTTTGCTTCAGAGGGGTGACTGGCAGAATGACCCTGGTAGGTCTGGAGGAACATATTAAAGGAGCAGAATAGAAGATGTTCTGTTACTATGCTGCAGATTCCTAGAAGTTCAAGAGAACAAAAGATTCTGCCGCTTTCTGAGATGAAAATAAAATCCTTATTCAGTAACTTTATGGACATATCTTGGCAATGGCCTACCCCAGTACACTGCACAACTGTTACCACTGGCTTTACTAAAGCCAGGTGGGCATAAAAAAAGACCATCTTATTATGAAGTGTGGTCTTGTGGGGTTTTATTAATGGACCATTAATGGAAGTAAACACAGATATCAATCATGACACTAGCAATGACAACTAGCATGACACAGTGCACTCATGGTCCACAGTGTGAGAGAGTGAAGGGTGGACGTAAATTTAGTCTTAACTCACCAAATAACCTGCATGTACAATACAGTACTGTTTAATTTCAAATTGCACCATTCATTTTAATTAAAGAACTTATTTTGAAAATAATAGAAAGCTCACATGCAAAATACAGCTTGCTGTGACCACAGGGAAAGCAAAACATTGATGTCTTGAGTCTCATTTTGTGTATCATGGCATGGCAGTTAGCTCTACCAACTTACAGTGTCCCAGGTTTGATTCTAGGTTGGAGCTCCTGTGTGTGTGGAGTTTGCATGTTCTCTTTGTATTCATGGGGGCTTTTGCCAAATTATCTAGCTTGCCCCCACCTACCAAAGAGATGCAGGTTAGATCTGATCTAAACTGTCCCTTTGCACTGGGTGAATTTCAAGGGGTTTCATATTGAATTGAGGGGTTGGGGGGTTGTTCCTGTCTTAAGAATTTTAGAGTAATAGAACCAAATGATTTTGATCGGCTGAATGGCTTCCTTGTTGGGGATCCTTTGTTTTCTCTGAGTTTGGATTGGTTTCTTGCAAGAACCACTGCACCCAGAAGCACACTGGTCCCTGACACTGATTTCCTGATCAGCAGATGTAACAAGTAAGTTTTGCAGAGAGTGCAAGCAGAATACTTAGAGAAAGTCAGAAAAAAAAGTAACAGCTATTTAAATTGAGCGCTCAGGCTAGATTTCTTTTCTTTTTTATCTTTGAGCACCTGTTCCTTTATTAGTGAAAAGTTGGCAGAAAATGAATTCTAATAACACTACTGCTTGTTTTAATGATGATCATCATGGTAACACAGAACCCCTGGTCCAGGATTATGTTGTTTACTTGCTTTCCCTGAAACAAAAAGCTGTATTATCAGGAGTCGGTTCGCTGTTTTCCTGCCCAGCTGGCTGCAGATCGATGCGATACAACATTGGAAGGGAAACTCAAAATCAAAGTAGTTGTCATGGCAACGGCCCTGACAGACTCCACCAATCAATGGATCCGGAATGCTGCAATTTGCCTGGAAGGACCAGCGTCCTACATAAAGAGTGTCGGCCTGGGAGCTGGAGCCACACGGGGTAGCCCACTTCCCAAAGAACAGGCAGGCGCGCCAGGGTTAAAGCACGCTACACAGCAGCAGAAGACAAGAAAGGAGGGATAGAGGGAGAAAAAGAGAGAGACAAATGGCTTTTGTGCTTCATGGAGGGATTTTATCCCAGATCTACTTGGGGGTCCTCTTTACTGCTTTCTGCTTCCAAACTATGACAGTCCAAGGAGGTAAGATGCCCTCCCAACATAATTTCTCGTGATTACCTCTGCTTTTCCCTATTTATCTCTGTGTATGTGTCCGTTTTCGGATCGGGATAGCTGAATTCTAAGGGTTACATACCAAAGGGGGAAAAAAGTCTGCATTTTAAAAGAGATGGACTCACAAGAGCCTACAAAGAAGTCAATGGGTTTGGTTTCTGCATCTCTTTAGAAATCAAGCCCTTAGGCTTTGAAAAGGCAGAAAAGATCTGCCTCCTTATTAGCATTGCAGCATTGTCTCAGTCCCTCTTTTCTCAATTTCACTCTCCAGTCTATTTGCAGATCGGCAGTAGTGGGAAGGTTTACCCTTGCTATGACATTACTTGAGTGAGAACAATTCCCAAGTCTCAGAATCCCAGAACTCATTTTTTTCTCATGAACATCGACTGAATGAAAATGCCTTTTCATGTATTTTTGTTGCTTTCTTCTGATTAATTGATCTGATTTCTGGAATTCTATGCATGTTTTCTCTTGTGAAAACACAGTGCATAGAAGGGTATTGTCTTGTAGAGTTTAGGTGAATATAACTTTGTCACTAGTTCCTTTTCACTTTGTCCTTCCTGTCTCACAGGAATAAGAACTCCTCATTCAGTCTTCTTTTGCACTGCACTGCTGGGGGCTGGTAGTACCCCTGTAAGTTTGGCATGGAAACTCACTGAGACTAAGGTCAATGTCTGACATTTGTTTAGCATGCTGACAGCATGTCCATCATCGTACAAAAAGATACTTCCCACTAATAATAAACTTGATTTGACATGCAAATTACATCTCCTGAAAAAACATAAAAGATAAATGTTTCCTGGAATTTGAATTTTTATCCTTGTTTTAATCCCTGTAGCATTGCTCCAAGACTGTAGAATGATTGGCCTGCATGTATTAGCTCTTGCAAATCAATCAGTACTTTCCAATCCTTCAAACTCACATTTCTTCTCTAGCTTTTAAACTGTTTAATTTGCTATTGTAAAATATCTCTGTGATTTACTGTGCAACGTCTTGACATGATGTAACATGAAAGGTGCAAAATAAAAAAAAGGGTAGCGATAAAATAAAGATTATTACTTGTGGCTAAAAATAATTGTATCATAGAGCAGACAACATGTTTTCCCTTTCAAAAATAAGGGCAGCATTAACACATTTGCTTAACCATAATAATGATGTTTACAAAGAAGCCCAAGTTGGACACTGATGCCTCATTAGTTCACTGCTAAAAGCAGATGGTCGCAGTATAAGTGAGGTGCTTTCACCAAGCAGACAATTGTTAATTAGTATGTGAGTGATATCAATTCACTACCCTTCCTGTGGAGTAGTGCCACTTTCCGTAAAAAACAGGACTGAGGTCCTCGCAGCTGTAGAGATGCAAGTATTGAGCCGGTATTTTGGTCCTGGGTTTCTTGTTCTGTGTCAATTTCAAATTTATCCTTCATGTAAGACAAAATGCAATTGTATTCATAAACTGATAAATCTGAGCATGACCCATTCATTCCCATGGTTAAAACGTGTTTTTAATACATTGCTTTACGAATAAGTTGTGTTTTTCTGGATTTAATGAACATTTCTAGAATAGTAAGAATGAATATCATGTGATAGCTTTAATGAAACTTTAGCTTTGAAACTGTAGCTTCAGTGAGAAGTTCATTAACAAGTTAAATCTTTGCAGAGTAGACGATGGTAACAATAACAACATTGTTTTTAGAGAGGTAGGCCATTGCCCTGTTTTGTGACTAGAATGGAATACAAAAATAGTAAGTTCTGTCAGGCACTACACGTTTTACTGGCAGGGTTAAGTACAGCCAAAAAATCTTATCTTGAGGAGCAGGGTGGAGTACAAGGGACCTTTCAATCAAGCTTTCAATCAAACAAACACATTGTTCCTGCAGAAAAACTTACGGGCAAGTTTCACTGTGTTAGTGTATATACAGTGTCAGTCTGGACAGATGCTTTCTTGTCTTTACAGAACTTGCATATTTAGCTAATCTGTTTCTCCCTTTTAGCTTATTTTCTACTGCGTAGAAACTGAGCTCCTCTTTTTTGTGTTGCACTGTCCATATTTGGTTAATGTTTGTTAAACCCGTTCCCAAAAACTGAACCTTCACTTTAGTCATTTGGCAATCCTTTTTGTTAACAACGCGCAGCTATGCTTTCAAAAAGGAAATGTAGAAATAGCATAGTTCATTGAATAATCATATGCTGAAGTTTCTTTAAAAAGTTGTATCCAGCACATCAGCTCCTTGTCTATATGTGCTTGAGCATGTTTTCTAGGTTGATGGGACACAGACTTGGGTTCGTGCCATCATCTATATTTCATTAGTGCCCCAGAAAAATATAAAAAATACATGCTACAGAAATAAATTCTGAAGTATCTTATCTCCATACTGGGAACAACAGGAAAATTCAGTGTTGGAATCCAAACTGCTAACATGGTGAATTGTTTTTTAACCGCAAGGCAGCTACTGTTTCAGTTATCACTATCATATACTGCACATATCATATTGTATTTTTGGTGTAAGAGGATAAAAGACATTTGGGATAGGAAGCTATTTTAGCCTTGATAGACCTTTTCTTAATCTCCAGAGCTGTAAAGGGATGAAAATGCAGCTCACAGTTTGCATGTGAGAAGCCATTGCTCAGAAATTACAGGGTAGTATTACTCTGGAACTAGGAGCACAGCCAGAAGTCATGCTTTGGATAGATTATGGCCTTGAACACTTTGTCCATGCTAAGCATGCTTTATTTTTAGCCAATTAAGAAAAATGATTCTTTAGAAAAAGCTTTTCATAAACAGGTCAAGGAGGTAACATCAAGAGCCCCCATTGTAAATTTCTCTCTACTGGAGGAGGGCTGCTTCTGGCTGGTTTAAAAGAAATTAACAGCTTTCTTTTGTCAGTGAAAGACTCTTGTGAATACAGCCCTGAGTTATTCAGCCAGTGGGAGAGTCTTGTCACTCATGTGGTCTGTGTCGTATCCCAGCAGCCCTCAAACCTGAAGGCGCTTCAGAGAGCAGCGGGACAGTGATCAATCACTCCATGATCCTGGTCCAGAGACTGGAGGCACTGCTGGCTCAGGGCAATGGCAGCGACGTATCCCTCCGGGTCCAGACAGTTCACTCGGACGAGGTGAAAGTGTTCCAGGCCCACTCGCTGGTGCTGTCCCTGCAGAGCGAAGTCTTCGAGGGGCTGCTGGAGCACCGCAACTCCTCCACGCTGACCCTGCGGGAGCCGGCCGACTGCGCGGCTGTCTTTGAGAAGTTCATCAGGTGAGGGAGGGCCTGGTGCCGGGGGACTCCGCTGAAGGACACGAAGAGTGAGATCCCAGTGAGCAAAGTGGCTGATTTTGGGCAAATAACAAAAAGCAGGAAAAGATCTATCCATTCCAGTAACCATAAGAGTTATCTGTTAAATAAATTAAAATATTAACTTATGATAAAGCCCCTTTCAAGCCAAACATCACTTTGTCAAGGTGGTTTATGTGACACATTGTAATATCCACTAAGCCCACAATAAGGGGTTAACCTTAACCCTATCTCTGGTTTAAGATACAGTAGTTCTTCATACTGTAGGTTCTATCTAATATTGTCGAACAGTATATCTGTAAAGGTCAGTATTAAGTTCTATAAGTACTGTGTTTATTATTTCAAAGAGCTAGGCAAAATGTTGTCAAAATGTGCAGTTTTGTTGTGTTGTGACTGCATTTCTGAAAGTTGCATAGGGTATTTGATATTTCTATGTGGAATGTGATAATGTGAGTTATCTTTCACAATCTGTCAACTAGGGCATTGACACAGACTCTGCTCTTCTGCCGTTTTCTCTACTGTGAACATGTTGTTCCACCTGGTGGCAGATCAGAGGATTACAGTGTCCTTGAAGTGCCTCTTTGCAAAGACAAACATTCTTGAGCAGATGGCTGGAGATCTATGTTTCAAGCTGTTAAACTGTTACCATGGGAAATGAATAGCAAATACCTGTTGCATGCTTCTGATTCTGCTTCTGTTACACAGACTGTCTGTCTTTATTTGCAGGTATATGTACTGTGGGGAGATTGCTGTACAGCTGGAGCAAGCGATCCCTCTGCACAAACTGGCCAGTAAGTATACGGTATTGGCCCTGCAGCATGGTCTCAGCCAGTACATGACCCTGCACCTGGCCAGTGACTCCCCTCATGGGCATGTAGTCAACTGGTACCACTATGCCATGCAGATTGGAGATGTGGCTCTGAGGGACAGCTGCCTGCAATTCCTGTCCTGGAACCTGTCCTCTGTCTTCCAGAGTGGGGAGTGGGGCTCGGTGAGCGCTGACCTGCTCTTGTCTCTGCTGCAGCGCTCGGATCTCATCCTGCAGAGCGAGCTCGAGCTGTTCGAGGCTCTGGAGGCCTGGATTGGGCAAAACCAGCCGGGGGGCTTGACCATTGAGAATGCCTTGAGGGCGGTGCGCTATGCCATGATACCCCCACAGCAGCTCTTTCGGCTGCAGAAACAGTCTCCGCTGCTGCTCAAATACCACCAGTCGATACAGGACCTCCTCTACATGGCCTTCCAGTTCCACTCGGCCTCCCCACTCCAGCTGGCCAAGTATTTCGATGTCAACTGCAGCCTCTTCACACCCCGTAACTACCTCTCTGCAGCCTGGGGATCCCCCTGGGTGATCAATAACCCCACCCGGGACGATCGCAGTATGAGCTTTCAGACCCAGCTGGGCCCCAGTGGCCATGACGCCAACAAGAAGGTGACGTGGAACGCGCTGTTCTCCCCAAGATGGCTTCCCGTCAGCCTGCGGCCGGTGTACACAGAGCACGGGGCGATCCAGGCGGCGCGCCCCGACAACGGCCACCCTCGCATCATCGTCACCCCAGCCACCTCCAGCGCAGACTTTGCTGGCGTCAGCTTCCAGAAGACGGTGGTCGTGGCCGTGCGGCAGCAGGGCAAGGTGCTGGTGCGACACGTCTACAACTTCCACCAGAGCACCGAAGAGACTGGGGACTTCCTGGCCGAGGCTGACTTGCAGCACAGGGGCTCCGATTACCTCATCGACAGCTCGCTGTACCTGCACATTGTGGTGAAGCCCATCTATCACAGCCTCATCAAAGCCAAGAAGTGAACCTCTTCACCCAGTACTAGCTCACTGCAGTGTCATACGCACAACACATTCATGTCAGCGCACTCAGAAGCTCCTCTGAGCTCTACAAGCCTTTACTGCAGTAAAAGGCTGCACACATTTTGCAATGAACCTCTTTATTCAATGATGCACAATATTTCTTTTCATCCTGCAATTAGTTATTAATAACATCATTCTGTTTGATCTTTCCAATTATCGTACCATTTGCTGCAGTAAAAAATCTCCTCTTGTATCTTTCTTTCCCTTTTATAACCTTCATGAAACATTATAAATTAAAGTGAACATGCTGTTTTTTTAGCTCATCATGCTCCTTCAGTCACCTTGAAGAATATTTGTTGAAAACAGAATAAACAAATGTTACATTTATAACACGTACAACACCATTTTCTTAAACAAAATGAAGTGCTGTGAAACAGCAAATGGTCATGCCAGACCTATTTACTGTATGGGGACAGCGCTCCATGTTGATGCCAACATTCCTCATGGAATTAGGAGATGAAAATTGCATAAAGAAGCCAAATATTTAGAAACACAGACACACAAGTAGGCAAATGCATTCAAAATACACATGTAGTCTAACTTTAAGACATATTCAAAAGGGCTGTCCATCCAGATCTAGATAAAATCATCTACACTGCAGAGCTACTGTAATTAACTTGCCCCCAGGACAGTCCTATTGCCCTACAAGAATAAATTCCCTAGAAAAGTTGTGAAATAAAGACTATGGACTCAAAAACCCCATTTTCACCTGTGACCATTAGGACTGCTGTATGTGTGGAACCATACACACACAAGAAGATACAGGCCTCATCTCACTTGTCATGTTCATGACCCTTATTCTAATGAAAACTTTCTTTCCAAACAATGGCAGCTAGAGAGAAATAAACTCTTCGCAGAGCACTCGTCAAACTAAAGAGCATATGATTATTTTTTTTTATTAGAGAAGATATTCTGTCAGTGTCAAGAATCGGTATTGACTTTGCAACAAATGGCGATGTCATACAGGCTTGGTGCATTGAACTTCCAATCTTCAGAGAGCGGCTGGTGCCACTTGGAGCCAGAGGGAAGGCACATAGTGTAGAAATCTACAGGCAGACGTCTTTTTACTTTCCCACACTTTAAAGCTGAGAACATAAGAAAGGGTACAAAGTACAGGAGGCTATGCACTTAACTCATTAGGGTTGCCAGCAGCTCATCAATCTCAAAATCTCGTCGAGCTGTCTCTTTGATGAACCCAGGGTATCAGCTTCAATAACATGGCTGGGTGGATTATTCCAGACTCCCACAACTCTTTGTATAAAGAGGTGCCACCTGCTCTCAGGTACTTCCCCATAGTCTCCACTTGTCTTCTCTGGTTCGTGATTCACTGATGATCCTGAAGCAGGGCCATGGCTTGACTGTGTCAATGGCCTTTAATCGCTTCCCCTTGTAGTCTCCTCCGTTCTAGGCCAAAAAGATTCTGTTCTTTTAACCTGTCAGGGCAGGACATTCCTTTAAGTACTAGAACGTTACCTGGTCACTCTTCACTCTATTCATTCCAGAGCAGCAATACCTTTTTTTTGGTAAAATGGTGACTAAAATTGTTTGTAAGACTTACTTACACAGAGGATCATGGTGTTTTCTATCCTGTACTATCATGTGATTTTGAAGTTAATTCTTTTTTTATTTTTAAGTATAAATATACTCTGCCTAGTTACATATTAAATTAGAAGTATACTCATATTTATTACTAACTGCTGATGTGTTTTGAGCCATTCACTTCTGTGTTGCTTGGGTATCCAGAAATCTTAGTCTGAGGGCAACTATATGTTACTAGAATTGTTAATGTTATTTATATATTAACCCTGCCCTGCCTCCTCAATAAAGAACTAAGTTTTTTCTCGGTATTTTCTTTGTTTATAAAACTTTTTTAATCCCTCAAATTAAGGGGCACCAGAGAAACCATCTGATGCAGTTTGTAGTATTTTCAAATCGAAAGCTTGCTTTACATTCACGGTGATGTATAAGATTAAAAATGCTGTGGATTCGATATAGAATACAGGAAAATTCCAGAAAAAGTCTGGAATCAAGTATGTGGACATTAAGATATAAAAAGAAGAAAACTGCAAAGATAAAATATTAAAAGAAGACTACTAGAAAACTTAAAGGGGCGCTTTTGAGCCGCTTAAAATAGGCTTTAAACCTGGTTACACCTGAAACAAAGATCATCCCTTTCCTTTCAGATTCGTGTTTAAACTGGATCGCCATACTCTTCCAGTTCCCGTGAAACACACGCTCTGCAAAGACTTGCCGCTCCGACTGCCGGAGAGAGGACTGTTTCCCTCCGCACGCTATTATGTAAACAGCACTGAGCAAAGTTTCCAAATGCAGCCTGGGCCCCAGAACTGGAGCGACCTGTTCCTCTGCCCAACCTGAGGGGAAATCACAGGCTCAAAGAGATGAATTCCATTTCTCTTGCCACTTACACCTCGAAACTACCTTTTGAACTGCGCTAATGTGAATTCTTTGCGACTCGTTAGCAATCGATTTATTCTTAATAAACTTAAACTCGTTTACTTTGAATGTCCACTTGCTTTACAGCGCCTTGACATTTTAAATGTTAAACAGCACCAATACAAAGGTACCGAATTCAACAGGGAAACGCATAAAGAGATTAGACACTCAAATTAAAAATTACGGTTTGTATTTTGAAGTGGATTACAAAATACCCGGATCAACAAAACACAACAAACGACTTTAAAAGCCGTAGAAAGAAACTTGCTTTCGCTTTCGTGACTACAGTTCCCATAACGCTCTGCGCAGCAGGAAGAACGTTTGTTCACACAGACTCTCACTGATCCAAGTTTGGAGCTTTCAGCTGCCAGCCAGCCTTGGCCCATCATGTAAGTGCAGCTGAGCTTTCCTTGCAGTGCAATTGCAAAATTCCCCTTTCCAGCTTGTTTTGCAAGGTGTGCATTTCTTCTCGCGCTCTCTGCACGGAAACCTGCAATCCAGAGGCAAAAACACTCCAGTTGCATGAAGATAGGAGCCTGTATTTTGCATATTTGTTGCAAAGCAAACCACTGAAGCTCCAGAGCGAGGGAGATGGAGGGAGGGAGAGAGAGAGAAGGCAAAGTCTTTTGTGCTTCCCCTCCCCCTCATCAAAGCAAAGGGGAAATGTCTCTGCCAAAGGGAGGTAAGAATATTAAAAGTGATCTGTGCAAAACCATCGAGATGCAATTAAGGCTGCAATCTTTGCAAAGTGCATTGCTGCACTTAAACGTCGGTTGATGCATTTTGAAGTTTGGGGATTTAAAAGGGTCAGTTGCATTTCCTGTTCAGGAGCTGCCCTTCTGCAGAGTTCCTGGTAAGACGATGCTTGCAGTAGTTCAGCTGTATATTGACGTTATTTGCATTCTTCTTTACCAGGATTACGGGCGCCTGTCTTGCCTTTTGCACAATTGGGACTCGCGTGGTGCGTGCAATACGAATATGTGGAACGCTCTAAATAAATCTTTATACGCAAGGACCATCTTTGTACACGATTAATTTAAACTTTGCTCGACAAATGTGCTTATTTTTGCAAGATGCACTGATTGGAAATGTACTTCCAGTGTGTATCGATAAGGATTTCGTCGGGGGAAAAAGAAACACCTACTTTAAACAGTTGGAAGTGCAACTTGCGCAAGCATCTTAAAAATAATGCATGAGTCGTTTTTCCCATTTATATCGCTAGTTTAGTGTGCGCGCAATGGAGAATTGCTTTTTGTTCTCTTTTCTGTTGTCTAAACGTCTCCTTTTCCAAGCTTTTTTTCCTGCTGTAATAAATAGGTAGACTTTCCTAAAAAAAATAACGGGCTAAAAATAGCTGGTTTGCAGTTAACGTCTACTGTTTCTAAACACTTCGAGGAATAGGCACACAAAATCGGCGTCTGCAATAAAAAATAAGCCGCAGTAATATAAATTTCCATATGCACTATTTATTATGTACAACGAAGATTGTAATGATGGGGAAAAAACTGCAAGAAACAAGCTATGGACTGATATTTTCACAAATGCGTGGTGTGCTTACTTGCAGTGGAAATGGGCAAGATGTGACTATGCAAAACACATCTTTGATTCCGAACAAACGGTACTGCCCTATTACTGTAATTGTTTTGTTCTGGGTTGAGCAACATGCAACGTTCAGTGTTTTTGTGGGGCTTGGGAATTTACCTGGACATTGCTCCCGGGAGAAAATAAACTCGCCTTTCAACAATAGCCTATAAACGCATGATTGAGATTTTGTATTAATTTAATGAATTGTGAAAAAGACTTTTCTCCTTTGTGGTGATGTTAGTATTTATGTCAGTCGCCTTCTGAGGTCAGTCTGTTGCACCGTAGATATTGCACATGCGCACCTACTGTACTTCGTAGAAGTATTATTTTTTAAAAGTATTTTTACCCCCATTTCGCAGGAGGACCCGGGCGTTACGGCAAGTAGCAACAAGTGGCAAGGAGGTGTTCAGTGAATAAGCCACGGGATTGTAGCCACAGCCCATGTGGTCACATACTGTGTTAACCAGTGCAAAAGACCCAAGCACAGGATTTAAAACCGTGCACTCAAAAGTTGTCCACCCAACACGTGTAACAGTCGGTGCTACTGCTGTTTGCCGCACACCTTGGTTGAAAGGAATTATAGGTTTTTCTGCAATAGTTTAAAGGGTGATCGATAGCACCCCTTTAGCCACGTGCATCTCTTCTGCTATTCTAAACCGCTCTTAGGAGACAAGATAACATGTTTAGTTTATCGCTGTTGAAATACTGTAATTAATCAAGGCAAGTTATATGAAAATAACGTTCCAGTAATTTCGGACTATTCCAGTGAAGATTTCGCTTTAATAAGGGGTATTCCATATTTTACAAAATACCTGCGGCAGTTTTCCACCGTTATTATAATAAACCCCCAAATCATTATGACTATGTAGTTATAAGAAGTGGGCAGGTGTTTCAAAAGGCACAGTACGTTAGGAGGGTGACTGATGCACTTTTTTTTCAGAGAAATAATGCAAAGGCCTTCACAAGGTTAAAAAAAGAATAAATCTCAAGTAGGAAATAAAATATAAATCGAGGTTATTAATTCAAGCATTAAAAAGCTATTAACAATATTAACACCTTTTAAAATTCAAATACGTGGTTAGAGATGTGGCGATTAATGCCTTTTCTCTTGATTCAAGTTATCTTGATTTCTTTTTCTCTAAATGTGGCCTAATTTGATGAGCTGGTCTCTGAAGGTGGTGCTCTTGATCTGGGCGTGATAAAGATAATAAGATTATGTTTTATTCCCCCTCATAAGATGTTGTATCTTCACATGAAGGAAAGAATGACACGGAGGCGGGTGTGGAACAATGAACTATATATTAAAGTCAAGTTTGTTTGTACATTACATTAGACTACCGATCCGACATCTTTCTCTCACGCTCTTTTCAAGCTGTCACCAAGCTCCCCAGTTCTGGCGCCAAAACTATAACCGCCGAGTTACTCATACAATTTAGGAAAATGGGATAGAGCAATCTGATTAACTATTACTTGTAATTCCAAATAATACTTATACCTTTATTTAGATATATATCACTTTTCTACAGTACCATTGATAGATATGGCCTTGCCACTGCGGGTCACGACACTCGACGTCGTGTAATCGTTCAAACGATGGGAGGCCACGTACTGAACGCGATTTCATGTTTTTTTTTTGAATCGCCTGGTCAAATCGGATGCTGTTGGGAGTTGTCAATAAGATTAATCTCAAGTATTTTCGCCTATTTTATTGAATTTATATAGGTGCTTCAATATCAGACGAAAACGTATGTAATGAGCCTTGGAAAGATTTCTCTGCTGTTTAATTGCGTTTACTATTAGGCGTAACGTTACGTGTAACGGCTGTACTAAAATGCTTTCAGGTATGACGGCGCGCACATCAAATGTGTAATTTAGGCAGAAACGTAAATTAATTCAGTTTGTCAAAAGATAATCGTGTATCCTTTCTTGTCTGTTCTTAACCGATGCCCGAAGACGACAAACAGCAGAAACCAGGGAATGAAAGCTTTACTGTAAAGATCCATGTAATGTACGTCTTTGTTACATCTGTTCACGTAATGCACGCTTTTGATGTCGTACAAATTCACCAGCGCAATCGGCGATTTTCGGAGTCTGCAGGTATTTGCACGTTATGCAGTCAGTCCTGAGGAATCTGCGTGGAGATTGCTTAGGAGATGTGCTTTTATACATCATTTCAACCATCTGTACATGAATTGTAGGGCACTTGTTTTGCAAAAGGACAAACATTTAGGAATTCGTCCCCCCCCATTTAGAAACAGTGTTGGACTAGACAAGACAATTATGGTAGTCTTTATACTTGTTTTAATACAGGAGAGAAGAAGACTCTGGACATGGTGTGGATTTGTGTCTGACACACTCTTGGCATATATGAAGTAACATTAACACTGGAGCTCTTACAGCTCTTGCTTCTTCTGACCTATTGTCTCCTGAACTGCAGCCTGTTGGAACCAATGTGTTCAATTCACTGTTGCCTTTTCTGCAACCCAGTGCTCTCTAACCACTGAACTGCACAATTGTGATGTTTGTCATGCAAATCACCTCTGTTTCAGCTGCAGAGATCCTAAATCCCCCCTTTTCCACTGGCCCATTGTTGACCATGCCCCCGGTCTATAGCCATTTTCTGCTGCAATAACAGTAGAATTGTTAAGTGTATTGTCCTGGTAATCCAGGAGATACCTCCTGGTTTGCGTATGCTAAGCAGGCTGTGGACCCCAGGGTGCAAAGTGGCATGGCAGTGGTTGCATCTATGTGCAGCACTAAGGGATATAGAAAACTCCGAAGAAAAACAGACATGCAATCAAAATGCCTACTCTATGTGCAGGGATATGGGCATTTGACAAACTACCCAGTGTCTGATTCTAATGATCAGTTTCTCTTGCGATGTGATATAGACAGCTGCAGTGCTTCGACTCTTCAGTGGAACATTTTGTCTACAACATTGATATGTAAAGTTGTTCACTTTCATATTTTAATCAGATAGAGGTTTGGCAGAAAGCATTCTAAAATGGCTACGATCCAGTGTTCCCTCTCTTTTTAGCGAGAACTGGGGTGATGGGGAAGGACACTCTGGTTCCTTTTTGTTCTGTCCTTGTTAAAGCGCTTTCAATATTAAAAAAAACAACATTTTTCATGTTAAATAATGTGGTTACTTAGAGACCTGAACAAACATGAAAATAAATATTGAAGTTGCTAATTAATTGAATTGATTAATTGAATATTTGCAGTCTATATTGCACTATCTTGCTCATTACTGGTACAAAGCAGGTGAAAAGGAAGTAGGTTGTCAGTGGCTGGTTTAAAACCACTTGTTGATGCACCAGGATGGAAGATGAACTTTGTCCTGTTGCTCTACCCAGGCAATAAATAACGCAGTCTTGATGTCTAGTGTAGATTCAGTTTAGACTGTTTTAATGTCACTGTTGGGCAAGCTGTAATTCACAGTTATGTTGATGGCTTCTTCTAGCTATACAGGAAGAGGGCAGATTTTCTGATATGTTTTGTTGTAGAACTTGGTAGAAATGTGGAGCTATATGTTGTGACAACCGGATTGCAAGCAGCATCCCAACACATTTTAACCAGTGTGTATCAATGGGAGAAAATACATTTTTTCCATAGTTAACAGTGTGTCTTAGCACCTCCAATGTGTTTATTCTTCCTTAAAAACACTGTGGAATAGAGTTCTGAAAGGCTCATCCTAAAGAAATAATAATCAAAATAATTAGGAAAAAAAAAACTGGTCTGAAGCTCTTCTGAATTTAAGACAAGCTTCAAAACACACTCAGCTAATGGTTAATACTTTACCCCCAGTCACTTCCTTTTATTTTAAGGAATGTTCACAACACAATACTGCTGCTGTACTTCATTAAAATCTGAAAGGCGAAGCAGGGTGTGAGCTAATGTCCTCCCCTTTCCTAAAGAAATATCTTAACAGCTCTATCTAAAGGGTCTGAAGTCTTTGTTTGCAGTATTTTGGTTTTATATTGAAGAGCTGTGTGCTTTGTGTTTTGAAGCAGTATTGCAGCACAAACGTTTGACTTGTGCAGCATGGTAATGTATTGAGTCTGACAAGGTACGAAGCAATAAAGCCGAGCACTTTGATCCAGCTGAAACACTGGTAGCACGCCCAATAGTTACTAGTGTAATTCTGGAGGTCCACATTAGGAAAGTGTCAGAACTCAAAGGGTTATTTTCACCCATCTCTGAATCATCCTCCAAACAGTCCTGGAATTCCATTGAAACATTCTCGAAATTCCTGAAATTCTGAGCTGAGTAGCGGCCAGTACTGGCCTGGAGAGGGGGAGAGGGCAGGGACTCTTTAAAGGGAAGGAGTCTGGATTGGTTCTAGGCGTGGGAGAGACAATGTTTGATGAACCAATGCCAGGAAACTAAATGATCCAGCAGACAGAACTGGCTGAATCAAGGCCCTGTTTTTCTCATTACCAGAGACAGTGCAGCAGTTTCCTGCTGCTGCAGCATTGCTGTGAGGGGATAGCCATGTTCCCTGGTCTGCTCATCATAGCATTTTACCTGAATGGCTGTCTATGATCCCTTCAGAAACACATTTTCTGTATATTTCTCTTTTTAAAATGAATAGCATATGCATTGTACAGCAAGTGTTCTAGGTTTTAAAACATATTTTCTGTATTATTTGCATATCTGCTTGAACACTTGCAAGGATCGCTGAATGGCATTTATTTCCAAGCAGTGTCATATTGTTGTTTGCCATCTTGGAATAAAAATATTCTCATGCTTACGATGGAGAAAGCAATTTTTAGGAACACATATTGCGGAGCTGATATCTAAGAGTGCTAACTGGAGGAAAACTAAAGACTAAAAAGTATTAATTACCTGTTGCATTTCATTTCTTACAGAGACTAAAGAATAATTAGAGAATAAATAATAAAGAGATGTCCTGTTTGTAAAATGTGTAAATTCTGTCTCCTATTACTAAATGAAAATATTTTTTAAGAAGAAGTGATTTAAAATATTTGATACCATTTTTTTGCACCATTTGTCAGACCTGTTCTGTTAGGTCCTCTTAAAGCACACTTAGGTTAGTGCTCCCATAGGTAGATTATGTAATCCTTGAATTGATTTCTTTCTCTGTAGTTAAGCATGTTATACGATTCTTGCCTAGCTTTTGCAATGCTATGAGAGTAGAGGGATTTAATGTTTTCTCAGGTCACCAGCAGTGTCCTGCAGCACTCTTTCAGCTTTTAGAGTGCCTGCAAGGTCTGTTCACTTTCCCCAGTGGGTTCTTGTTTTTTTTTCCCAGTTTAAATGACCTGTTGTGGGAAACAAAAACTGAAGGAATCCCAGTGTCCTGTAGCTGTATGTGTCTGCTGTGTGTTTTGATGGTGTTAAAGTCATGGTTCCAGTGAGTGGCATGATGTAACCTCTTAGGATGAAAGCTGTTTGCTGTTCCTCTGAACGTGTTCCATCTTGTCTTGAAACATGAGGCAGTGAAGTGTGGAATTTGGAAAATTCCTGTGAGTGCAGTTAGCCATCCGGCAGAGGGAGGGAAGGGTGGTGTTTGAGTAGGCTGTGCGCAGTTAGTGCTGTTGAATGCCAATTATCTTGTAATTATATGTATTGGTTAGTTACCAGTGCTTTTTTCACTGCATCATTCATCCCCCCCAAGAGTCATCGTGTGGCTGTGAACCTTCTTGCCAGCTCTGGGATAAACTGAAGAAAGAGGTGGCGTTGAGCATCTGTCTAGAAACTCAATTAAGGGACATTTCACGGATTCGAAAAATAATAATTCCTGTCCGTAAAAACGCATGCCTCCGCAGGTGATCATGTGGAACCCTGTAAATAATGGGACCGAAAGGGATGTGCTGTTTGTGTCTGCACAGTAACTTACAGAAGTTTCTGTCAGAGATATAAAAAAGTGTAACATTACACGTGTTCTTTTCAATATGCCCTTGTGACTATCAGGAACAGGAGGCTACAGGGTCCATGTGGCCAGTAATACCTCTTCCTGATGGCAAATTGGGAGTTTGCTCTGCAGTTATCTAGAGCACCCTGACACACAATAGCCTTCAAGTTATTGCTAATAGCACATTTATGGAGGAAATTACTGGCTAGGATGTTGATGCAAAGCATGTAATCAGCACAGAGGGTCTTGCACCACTCATTTTTCAAGCCCTGATGGGACTGGTGGGTCTTTGCATGCTCCCTGGTACTGTATAACTGATTCCAGATTGTACATGGCTGAGACATCTCATTGATGGCCTTGGCAAGGTGTGTATGTTGTGCTGTTGGAAGTCCTTAAGCGTTGCATTGTATTTGTTCTTTACTTGACCAAGTTGTCTTCTGTCAAAAATCTCGTAAAGGTCAATTAATTCATTTCAGATTGATATTAGGATTTTTATTAGGTTTAACGTTTCCGATGTAGGGCTTTGTGTGGCAGGCAGAAAAGAGGGTTAGGGCTTTCCCAAGGGCTCAAGTACATTTTTTACTGTTGGACTGTGATGTACCAGATGAATGTCAGAGATCATAGCCAATAGTGCAGAACAACAGAGTGCTTTAATTACTTAAACTACAATCTATGCAAGTTGCATACCTATTTCTAATTAGTATTTAGTATTTATGCAAGCCTAAGTTGCATAATTATTTATAGGCTCTGCGTTTTGGTTTTCATTTCATGTAAATATACGGATGCCTGAACTATCAAGAATCGTGTACTTGCATGGAACTATTTCTAAGTTGTTAAATTGTTCGATGTGTGTGGGGGGTGAGGAGTGGGGGTGTAAGATATGCTGGGACACTGAATTGATGTCCTCTGGCTTTAATTACTTAGTATTTAAAATTGAACAGAAATGTGTCCTGGATGTTATGCAAATTAATTGAAAAATTGGTTTAATATCCACACACTTGACTGATTTTGTTCCATGAAGGCGTGAACACTTGGGTTTTTTTCAATAAAAAAGCACAGACCTGCAATACAGGCTTGTTTCATTGTGTTTTCATTATGGAGCCCTACTCTTACTGGGTTTCTCTCTTCTTCTTCGGCAGGCAAGAAGAAGAACCCAGGTCTGAAGCTCTCTAAGGAAGTGTTTGAACAGCCTCCTGCTCCTGCAGCGTAAGACCCCTCTTTAGGTTTTAAGTACATGTCATGTATAGCTAATACAAGAATTTGTATAATCATTTAATATACACATAATTTGTTTAATAAATGTCACGTTTTATTTATTTGTATAGGTAGATCATAGTTTACAGGTTTGTTATGCCTGTTATACAGTCCCAGTTATACAGTTTCTTGGAGTGCCATAGGCAGTTCTATAGAGCCGTAGACATTTTGTACAAGTATGGGGGTGGGGTTTTAAGTTATTAATTATCCTCTTGGAAATGTTTGTGTAACCTTGAAGGCCTGTCCTAATGGTGTGGGTAACAAGCATGCTGACACACATGCTTTGGACCAAAGCAGAGGGGCAGTTACTGTGTTGTATTTCTTTATAGTGAGTAAGGGGGCAGCAGACAATACCAAGGGACTGGTCTTCTGGTCTCTTTTCCAAGGTATTACAGGCTACACAGCAGCCCTTTTTGGGCAGAATGGATAATTTTAACTGTGCTTTCCTTCCCCAGAGCACCAAGAGATTTGGATTCCAAAGCCTGCGTGACCATTGGGGAGAAGGTATGATTCCTTCCATGCCATTTTCTAATTCAAATTAAAACTCAATAAACTTAATTCAAACATCAAACTAAATGGAAACCCCATTTCTGAGCCACCTGTTTCTCCCCCCGCAAAGTTTTTTATTATATCATAAAATAGAAAAAATGATTTTTGGCATACAAAGCACAAAGGAATGAACTGGAGTTCCATGATCTGCTTCGTTGATCGATTACATGTTGGCAATGGGTTTGTGGAATGGCCAAAAAATGGGAAACATGACAGGAAATGAATGGTCAAGGTTAGAACAATAAGATTTTTATTATGGCTTCAATAAGCCATCAAGTGGGCTGGATGTCAGTCCGCAGCCAGGAGGACTAACACAGTGGGAACATACTCTTGTTTGTACTGTATGTGGTCACAACTGTGTCCTCCAACTCTACTGTGCATTTTTTGTATGCCTGAACACTCTCACTATAAAGAAGTGCCATATGAAGAGCCCGCAATTTAATTTTGTTTCCTGGAACAGTATTGGCAAGCATTTTATTATAATTTTTACTTCTGTGTTTAGGGCTTGATGCATAAAAACCTCATCACCCCTGTTCTAAAGAGCTCTGCTCAAATTAAACATTTTTCAGTAATAATGCTCTGCTGATCTCTAATCCAAAACTGAAGAGCGCTGATTATAGGCTGACAGGAATGTTCTTTATTCCTTTCGGTTTCTGAGCAATAAAAATATTTATCTAAAACTCATCAAATAAATGGAATTTTCCATGGGCAAAAACAAAGACTTCAGCAGTTGGTTTTTTATACAATTAGCTCAAATTCAGCATAACCACAGCTATTTTTTTAAGGTTAAAAAAGTTCTGATTTTTTTTTTTTAGTCTTTGTGGAAATTATCGAAAAAGCCTGGACTGTTGTTGACAACACTCTGTTCAATACTGCTTTTTCCTGCCCCTTCTGTTCTGAATAAGTCCTGTTGCATCCGTTTGGTACAATGTATCCAGTGTCAATGAAAATCCAACCAAATGTTCTTCGAGCTGAATACTCATCAATGCACTGTAACGTTACTAACAAGTTGGGAGTGAAATAAAATTGCTTTTTTAATTTTCAAAACAAGTCAGATCTTGTGGTTCAATCCTTGCAAAGGCGAAGCCTGCTGTTGTGGACTTCTGAGCCAGCTGTCTGTCAGTGACTATTCCCTGTGTTTGTAAGTACAGTCTGGGGTCTCTCTCTCTCGTCAGAACTTTGTGGTGAAAGCCGATGACCTGGAGCAGATAAGCGAGCTGGGCCGAGGGGCTTACGGAGTTGTGGACAAGATGAGGCATGTGCCCAGCGGCCTGATCATGGCGGTGAAGGTGAGGGAGGCGTTCTCCACATGGAGTCCGAGAGAAACTGGCATAAGGACGCGTGCCTTTGAGTTGTGCTCCTTTGCACTGTAAAAGGCTTCCAGCTCTTGTCAGAATCGCGGATTTGCATGCCCAATTTTGTAGTTCTTAATTGTAAAATAGCTCACTATACTGCTGGCTGCAAATCTCATATCCACATGGGAAGCAGATACATGCGTGTTCTTCTGCAGTCTGCACTCTGCATCGCCAGTTACCGTTTTTCACACTGAGAGTTCCCCAGTGCCTGCACAGGAGACTTGGCACCACTTGCAAGAGTGATTTAGCCCTTCCTGACGTCACTGCAAGCTGACAGTTGCTCTGCAAGTCCCGAGGGCGATTTTTGCAATCAAGCCAACAGGGATATCATGACCGCCTGAAGTCCATTGGAGGTCGGAAGAATTTGGCCAATGGAGAGCACCTGCTTGAGGAATCCTGGTCCTCCTCTGCTAATGACAGCCCAGGCTTGAACCAGTAACCTTTACTGCATGAACCACTAGCAACACCTTGAGCAGAGCTTTTCCAAAATCCGCAAATGTGCTTGCAGGTGGAGGAACACCGAGCACATATCCTGCTGGGTGCAGGAATAAGCTTGAATCCAGGATGTAAATGATGGCAGAAGTCAGACCTTGGTAGGGAAGATCATAAGTACATGGACTTTTTTGTCCACTTTTTAATACAGTAGTTGTTTATAAAATGCAAGGGGTAGGCTGTAAAGCCTACATGCAGTGATCCCAACTGGTAACACTGATAAGTCATTAACTCTGATCAGTGTTCAGGAATAAAGAACAGCCGATAGGTATTACATGTTTTCAGTGCACAGTCATTAAGTACCATTGTTCATCTGCTGGTGGGCTGATTAATTTACACATTAATTGCTGGGTGTACTGCTTAATTTACATGTTAATTCCTTTCAGTTTAAGGGCAATTTTAAATTCCGGTCTTGCCTCATGGTTTCAGGGTGAGCATGGAGTTAAGCAGTTACTCTGACTGAGACACTTGCTACCGTCCAGCGACGATGCCGACTTGACTGTTTATGTCCCAGCTTCCCTGGCTGCTACTTTTAACTCACACGTGTCATGAGATGTTTTGGAAATTCTCCTGTTATTTTATTTTCTTCTCGTTCTTTTGAAGTACTTTAAGAAGCTGGCTGTGGAGCTTCAAGCTGGTTTCCCAGAAAACAACAGTTTTGTGTGATCAGTCCCATAGTGCAGCCATCTGAGCTGGAGCCCTGGAAGAATTAGCCAGCCATATACTGATACCAATACTGTACCCATACATCCCCTCAGATTCCTGTCTTTTTAACTTTTCATTTGACAATGAAGGGATTTACAGGTAGAATATATACAAAATAAAATACTTTCCTGCTTTCATCTTTCTTTTTAGAATTGTATTTATAATTAACATTTGCATTATGCCAGCTTACCTATGGAAATGGCCAGCACAAATACAAAAATAACCAAAAATTCACAAAAATAATTACTTCATCCCCTTTCATAGAACCAAATCTGGTCTCAGTGGGGCCACAAACCCAATCCAGGCTTCTTAATCCTTGAGGCTCTCTGCTCTGTGTCCGTGTCCTCAGAGAATCCGAGCGACTGTGAACACCCAGGAGCAGAAGAGACTGCTGATGGATCTTGACATTTCCATGCGGACAGTGGATTGTTTCTACACTGTAACCTTCTATGGTGCTCTGTTCAGAGAGGTATGATGTCATCTAAAGGGTCTATATGTGGTAGTCCTATGAGTAATAAAGTAATTGACTTGTCATAGCTCAGAGAAGTAGAATAACATTCGATTGGTTCAGGGGCTTTGCTGCGTCTGCATGCGTAGGCTCCAAAGGAACAAGTAATACTGTAGGTTAATTCCCTGCTGGAAAGAGAAGAAAGAAAACGCAACGTTTCGGCCGTGGAGGCTGTGAGCACACCTGAAGAAGGCTCCACAGTCGAAAGATTGTGTTTTCTTTCTTCTCTTTTCAGCAGGGAATAAACCTGTTACTTGTTCCTTAACATTCAGTTGTACTGCTTGTCCAGCAAGGCTTTTCTTAAGTTAATTTTACAAGCTGTGCAGTTGTTGTGTAGTCTTGCTGTAAGAATTCTACAGAACTGAGTGTTCATAGTCACAGGAGTTATAAGTAGAATGTATATTGTATAGATAGTGAGCAATTAGAAGTGACTTGGCCCTACCCTCCTGCCTGCTCCAGGGAGATGTCTGGATCTGTATGGAGCTGATGGATACCTCTCTGGATAAGTTCTACAAACAAGTCATTGAGAAAGGAATGACAATTCCCGAGGACATCCTGGGAAAAATAACTGTCTCGGTGAGCTTCAATTGTTTTTTTTATTTCCAAAATATGGGAAAAGGTGCAAAATAAATGCTGTTTTTTTGTTGAGCGGTAAATTTGAATAATTTGGCAAAAGCTGCTTTGAGAAAACCAAAATGCAGTTATGTGTTTGGTTGAATCCAATACCTTGGGTTTCTTCAAGAAATAACTGGATGAGATTCTTGGATCAAAAAACTACTAACTACCAGGTGAGCTTAATGGCCTCCTCTCATTCATAACGTCTTTTATGTACTTTGTAACTGCAGGATTTCTCAATAGCTTAGTGATGTTCTGGAGTATGTGCCTGCACATCCGTGCAAGTAGCAAGTTTTGCAAGTTTCAGTTGCAAAAAATAGGACATCACTATAATTTGACGCTACATTTAACTAAGTAGCACTGTGGTCTGGGCCCACCTTGGACTGATGAATGACCAACGTTGTCCGGAAAATAGGAAGATGATTATATACTGGGCTAAATTGTTTTAGTCTGCTTTTGTTTTCGTTTCATATGGCTTAAATAGTTTAGAAAACTATTTTTAGGAATCGTTTTCTGCATGTTCAGAATTCAGCTAGGTCTGGGATTAACCCAAAACTTTGATCCACCTGCCATCTGCAAAGTCATTCCGTTGGTGGGTTCATGTTGGAAAGACACAAAAAGTATCAGGCAAACTGAATTGCTGTCTTCAAATGATGCTTGGGGAGTTTGCATCAGCCAAGGTTTGAATTAATCTGTGGGTGAAGTCTTTCCAGTTTCCAGTAAGAGCTGTCAGTTCTACCAGTTGCATTTCATCCACTGGAGCCCACAAAAGTGGTACAAGAACTACACAGCAGAACTCTTGCATCTAGATCTGCAAACTGTCATGGTATCGCTCTGTGATATTCTGGTGTTTGATCTGGTTAAAAAAAAAAAGTTTTTTTTAGGGAAAAAAATCTGTTGCTTTTAAAGATCTTTCCAGATCACGCTTCTCAACGGTGCTTCTTTGTACAGTGCGGGACAGAAACAATAAGTCATTACTGAAAATGTGGGGTGGAATGTGCATGTAGGCACAGTTACGCCCCTCTGCCAGATTTAGGCCGTCGGCTGTGTGTGTATAACACAAAGTGTTTATGTAACAGGATGTGTCTGTAACTGGGAAGGTGGAGAAGGGGGGGTGTGGTGGGGGGGCCTACTTTAGACATGGTGAGGCTGAAATATTATACGGGACAGTGTATCTGTGCCGTTTTCGGACTTAACCTTTTCTTCCTTTTCATTACAGATTGTGAAGGCTCTCGAGCACTTACACAGCAACCTATCAGTAATACACAGAGGTAAGGTTTTGTGCATTTTTTATTGACAGCTGTTCATTCAGTTGTGCTTTCTCAGTCACTGGTAGTATTTGCTGCCCAAGTTTGCTGTATAATATATATGTATTTTACAATCACTGTTAGAATGGTTACAAATAAGAGGTCACCATTCTGTCTAGCCTGAAGCTAGATTATATGATCAGATTCACGATTGTGAGTAAATTTATTTTAATTTGAAAATGACCTCAACCCAAAAAGTAATAGAAAGCCTACCACACTGGGACTCCATTGGTCTGATTCTTGACGGCTTTTTCTTAACAGATGTCAAGCCCTCCAATGTGCTCATCAACACACAGGGCCAGGTCAAGATGTGTGATTTTGGGATCAGTGGCTACTTGGTGGACTCGGTTGCCAAGACCATGGATGCTGGCTGTAAGCCCTACATGGCGGTGAGTCAGAATATCATTTTGCTAGTGGCAGGCTGCATCTGAGATGAAAATGAAGACAAATGACCTAATTTGCAATGCCATCAGTAGGTGATGGGGAAGGAAGGTATACTATGAGTCAGGTTGAGCTCTGTATCTTAGATCTTGCTGGTAAGTGTCTGGTTCCTGTCACAAAAAGACTGTGACCAGAATTCCCCAAGTAAAAGCACACAATTGGCTCAGTATCACCGGGGTAGGGCTGGGATTACTCACGCAACAGCCACATCTGCGACTTGTGCCCGCAGGCTTGCAGTGACTGTGACGAGAGACAGGCCTCTCCTCCAGTCAGTACTAACTCCTGTCATGCACTGCAGTGCTTGGAAAATGCTGTATAACAGGGGGCTGTGGAGGTGGACATGTCAGAGGAACATATTGCCATAGCCCCTTATTTCCTGAGTGGGACACACTGATGGAGAGCTGAGCTAGTAGCTCATTCCAGATTGGGTGGGAGGATTATAATAAATAACTGAGTTTCCGTTTTTTTTTTCCAAAAGGAAATAAGCTAACATGTTCTTTCCTTTGACTTCTGTTCTAGCCTGAGAGGATCAACCCAGAACTGAACCAGAAGGGCTACAATGTCAAGTCAGACATTTGGAGTTTAGGAATCACTATGGTAGGCACTTTGACCTCTTTTCATTTTCTCAGCTGTGGCTCCAGATTTTATGATTTGTCCACATCTGTCCAACATGCCCCACGCTATGGCCACGTTTGTCCATGTTTTTCATACAAACTCTGGAATATGCCTACGAACCTAGTGCCTGGGCTGAAGCAACAAGGCTAAGTGCGGTGGCTCTGTGGCTCAGGATCTACGCCTGTGGCTGGAAGGTCGCCGGTTCGTATCCCGCGGCCGGCAGAGGAGTCCTACTCCTTTGAGCCCCTGAGCTAGGCACTTAACCTTATAAAAAGCCGTATAAATGGCTGACCCTGTCTGTGTGTCTCATAGAGAGCACGTTGGGGTCTGCGAAAAAGACAAATTCCCAATACAAGAAATTGTATATGGCCAATAAAGTGATCTTCTAATTGATAACTGCTGCAGGTTTGCTCCTCCCCGTTTTTTTAGGATACCTTAGTTATCAAATTAAAATCGGATGTAGTTCTTGAGATGGAAGCTAATGTTTTATTACACCCTGGAATACCGGTGGGTTGCATCTTTGGAATCGGATAATTGGACACCCCTTGAATAACGTCTCCCCCACTGCTCCCAGATTGAGCTGGCAATCCTGCGCTTCCCATACGACTCCTGGGGGACACCCTTCCAGCAGCTCAAGCAGGTGGTGGAGGAGCCATCCCCTCAGCTCCCAGCTGACCGCTTCTCTCCCGAGTTTGTGGACTTCACCTCCCAGTGGTACGTACAGGAGCTGCGTGCTCAGTCCGTCCCGGCACTTCAGGCAAAGCCAAGGGACACCTGGGAAAGCAAAGGGCTTTTAGCTTTCTGCAGTGTTTTCAGCGTGTCTGGAATGTGCCTAAATATTAATATTCACCAAAAGCTTTTTTGTATCTGAATTCTAGTTTTTCAGCTAGTATGAATAACTTGCTACTGTGCAATTAGTCTCAATCGAAACATTGAAGGTTTACAGTTCTTTGAAGGAACGAAGCTGAGCTGAAGAGAAGTAGATTGGGAAAGGACAGAAGGGGAATTAGTGGTGAATGAAGGGTATTAATGGTATTACATTGATTCTCCTTAAAGCAGAGAACTGATTTATTTAACATTGGGTGATTCAGACGTAAAATATCACAAATGGTTCAACAAATCAGATGGGACAAAGAGAAAAAGGAAGCATTTTATAAAAAGCTTCAAAAGAAAAGGAATGGAAGCGAAAAGGAATTGCAGCTTTCTCAGTAGTACAGCGGCAAAAGAACTGTAATGGATAATGTAATGTGTCCAAGATGATAACCGGAAACCTTTAGACGATTAAAGGGAAAAAGCGAATGTATTAAATAACAATTACACTCAGGTGTTTGCTAAGGAACAAATTAACAGCATGAGTCAGGCAGTGGCAGAGCAAAGTTCTTTATTAAACAGTATTAACACAGCAGAGGATAAGACGCAGTAATGTTTCAGGGACTAGATCAATTAATCTCCAGGGCCTGATGGTATCCTACCAGTTGCTCAAGACAAGTACTGATGGACTACAGAGTTGCTAATGTAATCCACCTCCACATAAAGAGTCCAAACTGAACCAAATAATTACAGACCTAAGAGGTCTCGGCTTCTGTTGCATATGGGGATATGGAAACAATTATTAGAGCTAAACCAGAGGATTGCCTATATGGAAATAGGATCCCTTAAGATAATGTGGACTTAGAAAGGGTAGGTCTTGCTTCACAAACATAATTGAACAAGCAACATCAGTAATGGGTGGACATAAGGTGTATCATGCGGTGCATTTAGATTTTCAGAAAGCCTTTGTTATATTTCCCCATCATAGTTTAATCGCAGGCAGTAAGCATTTGGGGAAAGTTGTGCGTTTAGATTGAGAATTCTTTAATAAAGAGTACAGATAAATAGTGAATGCTCAAATTGGGGAGATATGGTGAGTGCAGAGTCACAGGGATTTGTTTTAAGACCATTGCTCATCCCAATTTATTCAATGATCTAGATTATGGTACAGTTAGTAAATTAGCTATGTTTGCTGAGTTAGACGATAACAAAAGTAGGAGGATTTTAATAGAAGTGGCAAAAGAAATTCATAAAGATTCAGAGGAAACTCATCTAGATGGCAAACCTCTGGAAGATGACATTTAAACTAGTACAGGGTATGCATAGAGGTATCAAAAACGACTGTAAATACAAAATAGCAAAAGCTGATTTTGGAGAGACTACTTATGAAATACTTACGTCTTTATGTTCACATAACATTTCTATCATGTAGACAGTTTGGGGAAGAAATAAATGTGTACTATTTTAACATAACACCCATTGATTGCAATTGTCCACTACCATAGCAAGACCTTTTCTGAACATCGTACAGATTTCTTCACCACATTATATAAAAGGTTATTGCTGCTCTGGAGGTAGTCCAGAGAAGAGCCACCAGATACATTTTGGGGTTTAGAGGAATGTCCTACACTAACAGGCTGAAGAAACCCGATTCATGTGTTCATATTCCTCAAAGACAGACAGCCCAGTGGACTTCTTTGGGATAGGCAGTGAACCACAGGACACAAGTAGAAACTGCATGGAGGTACATTTAAAACTTGCTCCAGATTGTGGAATATGGAACAAGCTGCCCAGTCGTTTTGTTGAAGCTTCTGTCAGAGAGGCCTGGATAAGATCCTTGGATCAGTTAGCTAATCTATACTAAACAGGATGGAAGGGCAGAGCGGCCTCCTGTCATATGCGTTCTTTCTTATGTTCTTAAATAGTCCTTGAGATTCTTTTTCTTCTCCTCCAGATTTAGGCTTTTATTTTCCAAGTTTACCTTCCCAACAATATTTCTAGAATAGTGCTCATAGCAAAGGCAAATGAAGTGGCCTTTGTGCCAAGTTCATAAAATGCAAAGGTCTAAAATTATGCAGTCTTTTATCCGACAATTCTAGTGGCAAATGTAAGTAGTTTAGCACTAATTTGGGAAAAGGTAGTGGGAAGCTTTAATTACACAACTTCCCTATATCGTGACTCAGGCATCCTGGAAAAAAGAGTGTTGTTTCTTGTGTATTGTGCGTTACCACTACTGATTCTGTGAAAATCAGACGAAGGGCAGTGAGCAGAGGGCAGGGGCAGTCAACCCTGCCTGAGTGATGGAGGGTTTCTGGGGAGAATGGCGGTCGGTTTCCTGTGCTGCGACCCCTGGCCGATTAGCCACACCCCTCTGACGGAGCGCTCTTCCTGCCTTCTGCTGCAGAGAGCAGGTCCATGTGCACCAAGCCTGACTTCTCAATCTCTGCACTTGGCTTCCGTTTTTTCTTTAAGAAAAAAAAGAAACGCAGTGTGATGTAACTCCAGCCACTGTGCCTGGTCTCTTGTCGGCAGGATGCGCCAGCAGTGATTACATCCTCAATTCACAGGGATTTTTTTGTTTGTTTGTTTGTTTTTGTTGTATTTTGTGTCCAAATTTAACAGAGGAAGGGTTGGAGACTGGAAGGGGTCTGCTGCGTCCTTTTCATTTTTATGAGACTTAATCGGTTGCCAAAGAAGAGGCGACCTACTTGATCTGCCTCCGACGCGTTTTCTTCTGACACGTAGCTGGAATTAGAAAAGCATATTTGCCGTCTGAAAACATCTGGTCTCGTGCAAATTTAGTTTCACCTTTGCTATAGAGTCAAGGTTCAGTAAGTATTGCTACAACACATGTCGCGCATCACTGGGTTCATTTTCTCACTCTGTCTAAAACATGTCTTTTAAAGAGATTCAAATTTTACCCTGTTAACACCGGGCTGATAAGTCTTACTACAAGTTGAGCAGTGGATACTCTTGTGGCCATGGCGAGAGTTGCTTTGGGTGAAAAAGAAGAAAAAGAGTTCTTGTTATTTAGTTTTCTCCGCCTTATTGACCTTCATCAGAACCATTCGGGAATGTATGTGATTGAGTATTATAAAGGACACAGAGGTTGATAACAGTGATATGGGGCTAGACAGAATGCCCAGAAGAATGGATGGAGATTACTTTTATAAAGTATCTTTACCAAAGAAAGGAGATTTGACTGAACTTTCAATTACAGAGCCATAACTTTTTTATCCCATGCAAGGAAGATCAAGCTAAAGGTTCTTTTGCACAGAATCACGGCAAACTGAACTAGCTCAAGAACAAATGGGTTTTAGACCAAGGACAGGAACCAAATCTTTAAACATCATCCTGACCATAGTGAGAGAGTTGCAACTACCACTGTATCTCCGCTTGTGGACTTTAGGAAAGTATTCTGATTCAATAGTCCATGGCAAAATTTGGATAGCAATGCCAGAGGTGTGGCGTATCCACCACACCTGGTACAGCTGTTGTGTCCATAAAGGAAAACACAAGGTGGGACTAAGACTGACCCAAACAGAACTTTGATGAAATATCAAAAGTATAGAGGTGTGAAACTGCATGCTGTCACTGATCTTGATTAATTATCTGAAAGGCATTGGATCATTTCAGATGTGGGTTTAGGGTAAGTGGAGGAATAACCCGAGATCTACTAAGGAAATTACCCATGTAGCAAAACTGGAAATCCGACCTTCAGGAGCTGTTTAATAGGCTCATAAAAAGGGGTTCAAATAGCAAATTAAGCCTAAATAATGACAAGCCCAAAGCCATGATGCTAAGTAACTGGTGGCTTGGTAAATGCGAAGGGAAATGAAGTCGTGAGTGAATGCGCATAGCGGGGGATCGGTACAACAGAAGATGTTGGATGTGGAAGTGAAACACGAGCCTGGTAATGGGAATATCGGTACTTGCCAAGCTGGCAACAGTATGGAAGAGCAGAGATGGGAATTCGCAGACGAAAACGCAGCCTGATTGAAGTGCCTGAATGACCAGTGGCAACAGGGCAGTGAAACATGAAAATTAAGGAAGGACAAGGGGAGAAGAACAGATGTGTTTCAGATGAAACGCCTGAGGAAAAGGTACAGAGTGCCATGGCCAGCAAAGAAGACAAAGCAGCAGGTTCTCACTGAAGCAGAGCCAGGAAAGGAATTGTCAGTAGCAGTGCAAAGAAGGAAGTTGCGTTTGTTCAGACATGCGGTAAGACAAGAAGCCACCTTAGGAAGAGATGTCAGGGATTCTCAGCTGAGGAACAGAACAACCTGGATAGGCAACATGACGTTGTGGACAAAGCTGGTGGTGACTGCACCCTGCGGAACAGCTGGAGAAAGAAGCAACTGTGAATCATCCACGTTGCACCCCATCGGATGGATAAAGACAAATGACAATGGTGACAATGCAAAGAGTGGTAGCAGGTGAATATTGAATAAATAACCCGAAATGCTGTGGTTCTCTCAGACGTATTGGGAAATGGTTTCAAGAGCCCAAATAATGCTGTTTCATCTGGTTTGGGGAAAAAAAAAGAGAAAATACATAGCAATGTCCAAGGCATCCTTATAAAAACAAGTACCTCAGCATGGTCCCATTTTCCATCTGCTGCTGGTTTTATATGTAAAAGATTAAGCGTCAGAATCTGCTTTGATCCCAAATGGAAACGCCAATGGTGTAGTGAAAGTGAATGTTATAAAATGAGTAAATAAACATTTCTTTGTGTGGCTTCTCTTTCCAGCTTAAAGAAGAATTCCAAAGAGAGGCCAACCTACACGGAACTCATGGTGAGTGTCAGCCTTTAATGAACTCTGTGCTCGTTCCCTGAAGGGAAAGAAGTGGAAATTCTTAAACTGCATAATGACTCACAGCTTTTGCAGCTGGTTTTTTTGAGTTCCCCACTAGAGGGCAGACTTGCTCCAGTGTTGCTTTTAAAATGGCACTACAGCTGCAGATTCTTAAAATGCCCTCTTAGTCAAATATAACTGTGTTTTGAGTCCATCCGTCAGTCTGCCTATGTGTGTATTTTACTCTTGCAGCAACATCCTTTTTTCACCCTTCACGACTCCAAAGAGACAGATGTGGCGAGTTTTGTCAAGCAAATCCTGGGAGACTGAGGAAGGCTTGCAGCTCCACCCCTTCGGCCCCAGCGAAGCAGGACTACTCCACTAACGCACCAATCGTAATCCATGAACCTGAAAAAAACTCAACAGAGGGCGGGGACTGTCAGTGCCCCAAGGACCGATGGAACATTACTGAACACGCAAAACTGGGTTTGTAACCTGGATGGAAAGCCAGAGTAGCTTTCAGTCAGGGGGTTAACTCATAGAAGGCTGGCCTCTTCCTGCGAGTAGCTTCATTAAAACAACATTACTATAAAATGCTCCCTCAGCCTTATAAAAGGTCCTGCTGCTCTATCACATCTCTGCCCATCCCCCTGGGGCCACAGCTAGGTATTAATGAAGTTGTGTGGATTTTATTTTGTCAAGTTCAGTAATTTTATTATTTATTAATCCATATGGAAGACGTTTCTCTTGTGTGGTTTCAAAATGAAAAACTAAAAAAAAAATCACTATATATTTTAGATTTTATATATAAATACAGAAGCATTAAGTAGGAGACAGCATTTAAGGAAGACTGTAGGTGACTGGGTTTTTTAATCACTTATTTAATTAAAGTTATTTTAATTTTTAATAGTAATTTCACAGCACAGATGCACATTCATGTATGAAAGGGCTGCCTCAGTGCAAGAAGGCAGTAGAAACAAGTAGAGTCTGTGTAGTTCAGGTAACACCGCAGTGTACAACTCCTCTGTGCTTAGGAGCAGGTGCAGCCGAAATATGTGATGATTGAATTCCTCTTTGGTGTGAATCCAGTACCACTCTTGATTTTTGCACGCAGAAAGATTTCATTGGCGATTTAAAGATTCTGCCTGGAACGACTTGGTTTGATTTTGTAGACCGCCACAGTAAGCCTAATGAAATCTGAGGTGTTCTTACATTTGGAGTTTGTGTCCCACAGGAAAGATGGTAACACATCTGAGCTAACTAAGAATGCAAATAGTGCTGGTGTTAAGAGTGGTGACACCTGTGCCACTCATGTGACAAAGCTCTGAGAGCATTTGTGTACTAATGGATTTTTAAGAAGATATTTATGCTGCTGCATTCAGTACAGATTTCTGAGCCAGTTTTGGTTTTCTCTGTTATAAAGACTACAGGGAGGGGACAGCAATTATTTTGTTTTTTTGTGTCTGGGAAGTAAGTTATGCAATTCCTGTGTTTTCTGTCTGCTGTTTTTCACACGGAAGCGTTACTTTTTTTTTTCCCCACAGCGCTGTGTTTTTCAGAGAAGAGCTGTATTGCGGTATCGAATCATTTTGGAGTTGTCTTTCTGGTTCTCAAGCCCAGATTGAAAAGAGCTGCCTCCTGTGCTGTGGGCTGCAGGTGTAAAGGAATGAGTGCTTAAGGAATGATAGTGCATACTGAGGTTTTTAAAATAATATCCACAAGAATGCAGAAGGTGAAATCTTAAAATGGGTTACAGTAAGAGCCGTGCAAATTAAGCCTTAGGATTAGCCTTGTACTTTCAAAATGAGGCATGGTGGGAAGCTGTGGTTGATGTTTAGATTCCCTCTGGTTGCCTAGGCAGTTGATTAAGCAGATCTTTGCTCTGTGTTTCAAGGTTGTGCTGTGTGGATGCTTTTTGCTTTTGCGTGTGTGCTGTCCTGGAGAGAACACTGATCTTGGTGGGGGAAAAAATGCATACTGATGAATCATTATTTATCAATGACATAATTAATTGAGTGTTTAAAGTAGATATGATAGTGTTTATAATTATAGCAAGCGGTGAATTCTCGCAATCTGCTGTTTGTTTGAAGACTGACTGCCTCTCTGGACTGTTGTGCTCATTCCTTATAGAAGGGGGATTGAACAATACCCTGCCTTTTGCTAAAAAGAAGAAAAAGGCTAGTGGAAGGTACCACAGGACTGATCTAACCTAAACAAAAACATACACTCTACCTCTCTTTTTGATTACATAAAATCTAACAGACTTAGTCACAATTTTTCACAAGTCCCTGGTTAGGCATTCAGTGAGATGCTTTTGATTTGAATTTTACAGTGCTGTTATCATTGTCATCATTAGTGATGGTAAAGTTGGTCTTCTTTGATTACGCTTGGATGGCCTGCCCCCAGCATGATAGTGTTAGTATCAGGGGAGAGATGGGGAATTAGTGTAAATTCGGGTTTGATCACGCACTCCTCCTCCACCAACCTGATGGACTCATCAGCTTTACTTGCACGACTGTATCGTGCCGTTGTCACCAGTGCAACACATTGTCATGGCCCCATAGTTACTTTGTCACACAGGTTTGAGGAATGAGACTGCTTGATGTAATGGTTTGATCAGTGAAATCCATTTTAAGATTAGACAGAGGCATTGAGAGGCTTCAAATTTGTACATTTGTAGTTATAGATGATTTTGTTGGGTTGCCTTCTGTGCTTGGATTAATTATTAATTACCAAAGATGTTGTGTTTTCTAATGTAAGCCAGAACTAATTCACCGTTACCTACTGTAGTGTATTGCCATATAGATAATCACAGGCTGTGATTTGAGTGTGCAATCCCGTTTTTAAACATGAAAATATTTTTTCCCCAATTTCCCTTTAGCTTTTGTTTTCTTTTGTAAAAGTAGGTCTTATTCATTTCATTTCAAATTTCAGGATTTGAGCGTACATATTGATGAGATATGTACTGTAACAAGTCAAGGGGCATCAGTGTAGGGCGCAGTGGTTAGGGTTTTGGACTTGTCGCTGTAAGACTGTGGGTTAAATCCCAGGTGAATCACTGCTGTTGTACCCTTGAGCAAGGTACTTCACCCTGATTTTTAAAGTTCTAACAAAATAACCAGTTGTACAAGTGGTCACTTGGGATTAAAGCATCCACCAAATAAATCACTGCAGTATACTGGCAAAATCTTTAAAAAATAGCTCACAGCAAGTACTAGAGGATTTGCTTCTTCTCAGGAAGTTGTAAAATCTCTTGGTATTGCAGAATGCAGTGTAGCCTCAAGCAAGTGGTATACAAAATCAGCACGTCGGAAACCGTTAAGCTTTCTCATTCCGAATTGTTTTCTTTCTTCAAGCAACAGTGGTGGAGGAAAGAATGAAATCTGCTGAAGTTAGTGGGAAGAGTCAGCAAAATGACTTCAGACCTGTTCAGCCTGTTGTTTTTTAAATTATTGTTAATCCATTTAGTTTTTAATATTACAAGCTATTACAGGGGTCTTGTCAGATTGTAATATGAAGACCCTGGTTTACAGAGACAGTTGTTGTGCTTTGCAGGTAATTTGCGTGTATAGAATTACTGCCTCCTGGTAGTTCTATAGCATATAAGCAGCTTTACACATTTTTGCTGAATCCAAATGCAGTGTTTTTTGAAGCAAAAACCTCTCTTTGGAATAGGTTGATAGCTTACTGCCACACAGATATAAATTATATCTGTGGAAGCAGCAAACTGTTTACTTGCTGTCTCTTTCTCACTCTTGACACGAATTTGTTTGGGATCGGGAAACACATGTGTATTGCAGCAAAGGATACTCAATGTATATGCAGTAGTTTCTGTTCTACTTGAGCTTCTTGGGCTTGATTATTGTTAATATGCAAACAAGATGTCTCTTGGCCAGATAATGTATTACTTGAAGACTAAATACAAGAGGGGGCGTGTGTATGTGTATGTCCGAGTGTGTGCACGCCAGGGAATAGACCCGTACAGATGCATGGGCTCTGTAGTGAGGCCTGACTGAAACCTCTTCTCTTAAGGAGGGCTATATAACACTGAAAACTAGTCAATTATGTAACCTTATTATTGCATGACTACGAGGAAGATTAATTACTTCATGAATGCATGTAATGCAAAGGATGGTTCAGTAATAAATGAGATTTTTTTTTCCTGTTTCTCTCATTTTATTCTGTGGACATCTCCCTCGTGCCTCGTCAAGGTAATATCTTGGCCAAAAAAACACCAACACTCTTACGAGGAAAATGCTGTAAGCTTCTAAGCTTTGTGATGCTGGCCCAACCTAGGCTCGGATGGATCAGCCCTTTTTCCTTTTTATGTTTATTTGACAAGTTTATGAACAGAATTGTAAACTTGCCATCACCTGAAAGACAAGAAGTCTGTGAAAGGAGTCTTCTGCTGCCAGAGGAATATTGTACATAGGGCAGTATTGCTTGTATATAATTTGCATACAGTACTTCTCTGTACCAAAGTCCATTCTGCCACAGCTTTTGGTGAGACAAATGTGGGGGAAAAAATAAATTCAAGAATTTCTTTCTTTCAAGGTTTAAAGCAGGAGGAAGGGCTAAACTTGAACATTTCTGCTGTGTAATATTTATAGACATGAATTTCTTTTCACGCATTGACAAAAAACTCTTTCATAGACTGGCTCATAATTGTAAAAATTGCACACACAAATAGCTGTATTGTCATTTGTACTGTACCACAGAACTATGTCATCCCACTCCACAGTATGTGTTAACACAGACTCTGTTGCTTGTGTTTCTTAAAATCAATCTGAAAATAATTTGTTACAGAGGGACAGAGCTTCACAAAAAAAACCTGCAAAATTATTAGTGCAGAATTTAAATTATTTCACTAAAGAATAATTTACAGAATTGAAGTGTTCTTTTGATGTAAAATGGTCATTTTAATGTTTGTGCAGTGCTTTTGATCATGGCGTTGCTGTGTTTCCATCTCTTCTTTTTTGAAGCGATAAGCACCACACTATTACTTAAATTCCAGGAGCTCACACTGGTCAAAGTATATTCTAAATTGTTCCTCAATGTGTCAAACCTACCAGTGAGATGCTTATAAAAGAAACCTAGGTGTTCAGGCATTTTCAGACTATAGAATTGGTGACGATGTATATACTGTAAATGCTGTAGGTCATTGGTAATGATCATTGGAACCTATCACCATGAGAGTCCTAGGATGAAAAGCATGCTAATAAAATGATGTATAATAAACAGATGAGGTTATTATGCAGTTGGCCTTTTTTATTTTACACATATGCAATGATTTTCCGTCAGGATGCCTGCTGATTTGATTATATTTTTGTGATTTAGCCCCTGTCTGGGTGGCTTGGCGCCGCAGTTGTTAACAGGCCTTGTAGAGGCACTTCAGGCTGCCCCGCAGTACATTGGGAAATACTAAAGCCCAGTGATTTCCCAGGACACCATTCCTGATGTCCATCGAACAGGCTGGTTGTTCTGACAGGGGCAATATTAGAGCCACTTTAAGAATCGCCTGGTATATTTTCAACTTCAAATGGTAAAGGTCTGTATTTGCTGAGGTTTACTAAGTTGTGGGAACGTGTTTTTTTTTTCTTGCAGCCGGCATAACACTGACAGCTTTAAAACTGGAAGCAAATATTTTAAAATATTTAATGTGGGTGTTACTGCTTTGCAAGCTGTTGAGTTTTTGTTAATCTCCGTCTTTGGATGTTGCCGTTCTATACCTGTCTAAGTAAACCTAAGCGAATGTGGCCTTTGCTACTTGAAGTGTTTCACTCCTGCCTGCTGTATGGATTCAGTACAGCGCCTTGTGGAGGAAAGGTCATACAGTGTCTTCACACTGTATTTGTGTTTGCAGATTGTGATGTTGCTTTCGTTTGACCCCACTCTTTTAAAATATTTTTTTTATGTGTTCTGTTTTCTTGGTGTGTTCCGTGGGAGAGCACTGTGCTGTTGTGAGATGCAGGCTTATGTAGATATTCAGGGTTAGGGCCCTGTGTTATTAGAATGATCCCTGTTCTGACAATAATCATCTTAGATCAATGCATTTACAAGCATTCAGTCCATAGGTGTGGCACTGTGGTATCAAGATGTGCCCCCAGGATACAGAGTTTCAGTGCATCTACACAGCACTGCAAGGTTTTTGCAAAGACCAATGACTGTTTATTAAGAGGTGAATAAATTTCTATGAATATTATAGATTGCCCAATCTGATTGTGTGCAATTGTAATGATGTAAACTCAATAAAGAGGTATTTTTACACAATAACAGCTGTGTTTTTTACTTCTGCTTTGTCCTTATTCCTGTTCATGTCAGACTTGACTGCAAGTTGAGCCCTTCGCTTCAGACATTACTAGTTCCGATTGGCACCGCCAGTAGACGGTTCACAAGGATTAACAACATCCAAAAATTAAGGCTTGAAAGTGTTTATCGAGTGCTTAGTCATAGTGAGATTTGGCTGAACTGATCTGGCTGAGGGCCAGCCCCCTGGCTGTGGGATGAGAAGGCTGGGACCCCCATGCAGAATGAGGAGTGAGCTAAGGAGGAACATGAGGGATGCAAAGGAGAAAAGGTTTGTGTAAGGTATTTCTTGTTTGTTTTTTTCAAATGACGTCGGGAATAATTGAGTTATAGCACCGAGGTGAAATGGAACATGGCTGTTGTCACCCTTCAGGAACTTTCAATGTAAAATCCTTTCACTGGGAGCCTACAATTCAATTAAATCATTCAATTACCTCCATAACCGAAGGTAAATGTTCAGTTATGGTGGGACTAACAGTGTGTGAACTCTTCAATACTACAATTATGTAGGAAGAGAGCAATTCTTGTCCCCTCAGTTCTAAAATTAAGGTTGACATTTAAGGAGTTGAATATGTGAAACCTACCGAGAACCAATGTTCCGATAGTCATTTGTTTCATTTTTGGTACATCTTAGTGCATGATATATATATATACTGTATACGTATACAGTTATATACAGTATGTTGGATGCTCATGAATGTATTCATTCAGAATAATTTGGAAGGCTATCGATCTGACACCTTATACCGTCAAGCCTCCTGCTGTCCCAAATGACTGCAGATATGCAACCTGCCGTAGTGTTCTCTAAGGGACATCATTCTTGGGGGTTTAAGACTGAGAGATGAGGAGTTCACAAATTCAATGACATTTCTGAAACCAGCTTTTAACCCAAACTCGCATAGATATATACTGTTCTAATCCTATTAAGTTAAATAAGAAATGGAAAATGCTGTAGTAGTGGTGGTACCATGCATACAAGGTCATTTGTGTTTTTTTTGGAGGGAGGATGTTTTTTGTGGATGTTCACCCCTTTTTTTTTTCCATCACTATATAGACACATTTCCAATGGTCCGAAACCTGCTGTGCTCTGACCCGCCTCGGTTTCCAGACAGAACATCGTGGGAGATGGAAAATGTAGACCTTTCCAAAAATGTCCTGGGGGGCAAACACAGCAAACTGGAAAATAAATGATGACTGAGTTTTATCTTGGCATTTTCCCAGCCCTCTTCAATCGGAGTGCCCTGGCCTTTCTGCCTACAACATGCTGTGCCCCCTCGGACCCATTGCCCTCTCCCTCAACCACAGGGCCCCTGGCTCGGCCCACTGCCACCTGCTCCAGCTCTGACGTCGGTTTGTTTTGACGCACATCCCTCGCCTCTGAACTTGGGCTCCAAACAGCCACAGTATGGGTATTTTTAGCCCCAATCTGAACCCAAAGCCGGCAGGATTGTGTTTAGTTGCACATAACCGAGGAAGATGCTCAACACTTCTTCCTTCCTGAGTCTTGAAAGGTTAGCTATTCCTGAGACCCAATGTCAAAGTTAACTGCGAGGAAAAGCGTGATGTTGTGCAGGAGACGAAGTGTTACCCACACTGCAAACGTGACTGCTCTAAAATATTCTTAATGTTTGGTTCCCTTTATTCAACCAAGACAGAGGAGCATTTTTTTTTCAAAGAGAAGAGCTGACTGAAAATGGACACACGAGTGTGCTTTCAAAATAAATGTACAACTTTTTGAAGGACAAAAGATCTAATGTTTCCATTCAATTCCTGAGCTTCTAGTTTTAGATCCAGACCTTGCCTGAGAGTTTAAAGATACCCCAGAATGGCCTTCACAGCTAGTAAGGCTGGGGAACTTTCTGGACATCTGTCCCGGCTTCTTATCAGTGTTCATTAAATGTAGAATATGGCACATGAAAGATCTTGGATCAGTCTCTCTGGCAGGCCTGAGGCCTACTCATCCTAGCCAGCCATTTTCTGCTTTTGGATACCGGATATCACCGGAATGCAGCTTGCTTCACATTTATTTTTAAGGCCTCCAGTAAACGCATTTGGTGCAAGCTCGCTTCTTCAGCCAACAAAGCTGTTTTTCTTCCTGCCCTTGGACGTCAGATTGTTTCCTTTCTCACCTCGAAACTGCGAAGATCTGGCACAGCTTTCTTCCCCCTTGCGAGATATTACGGAGCTGTTGGTCCCTGGCACCGAGCCCTGCGGAGAGAGGAGCAGAAGGTTTCACTCAAGCTGACTGTCAGGCTCACACCTAATGCAGGCTGCTTAAGGCACTCTTGTCCTGTCCTCCACCTGAAGAGACAAGATGAGCTGACAGGCATACTACTTTCCACCTGTAAACTGCCCCAATTACAAATGTGCACTGGACGTTTAGAGTTCAGCATGGTTTTTCTTTACATGCAGGGCATTTTAGTATGATGTGGCCACTGTCTTCAAGTTCCAACACATGCCCAAGTGCAGAAGAGAATACAAGAAAGGTTACAACTGAGAGGAGTCTAACTTGCTTATTCGGTTGCTAGTTGCTAGTATTTCATCAATTCAAGCTCAAGTCCAGTCATTTCCTGAAGGATGCCAGGGTTTCATTGACAACTAGGCTGGTAGACTGCTCCACACCTCTACAATCCAAAACAAAAGGCCCTGAAATTTCTCCAGGTAAAGTGAAATCATAGAGACGCATGATAAATGATTATATAAATTCAGAGAAGACCAGGCAGAACCAAGATAAATCATGCTAGATTATTAAAAAACACAAAATAGCTTTCCAGAAGAGCTTTTATAAGTAGCACAAAGATAATGAGTGAATTTGATCTATTCACAAAATAGCTTAATCATAGAGGTCTTAATAGGTGGAATGTGACAAAAATAACAGATTATTTAATTTCTTTATGTCTAGTGCTCAGCTGGTTAGTTCCTTTTTAAATCAATCTTACTTCTTCAAATATCTTAATATACTGTACGTATTTAAATATTTAATTGTGACAAAAGAAAATAGTGTTTAACATATTCCTGTGGGTGCAGCAGATGCCTTTAAAAAACCAAAGATTTATGCAAGGCTAGGAAAACTGAAAAGACACATGAAGCCTGTGCTCTGGATTTTTGTGAAAAAAAAAAGGGTTTTCAGTCAAGCGAATATATTCTTTCAAAAGCCAAGGGGTATTACATAAGACTATTTTGCTAAAAATAAATAAACAGTCTGCAAAGATCATTATTTCATAGATTCAAAGCATTTAACATTTAAAATAGACAAGCCCTCTGCAAAGCGGGGCTGCGTCGATCCCAGCTCAAACGAGCGAATGCTGGTGTAGAAAATGCATGGCAGTGATTCACACGGAGGAGGGGGACGAGAGCACCTGCATCAAGCAGCTCTCTGGAAAAAGGAAGAAAACAGGATTTGGACCTCAAACAACATCCTCCAGGCCCACCACCCCCTGGGTGTTTGTGCTGCTATTCCTGCCTCTGTGTAGAAAGTGGGAAAAAGCTGAATCAAGGCCGCAGGACTTCCTGAGCTCCTGTCATGCTCATCACCAGATTCACTGGGCTGACGTCTGCATGCTCATTCATCTTTTTTATTTAAATAGGAGGGTGGACTCCTGCAAGGAAAACTGTTAGATCCTGTTTACAATGTGCAGCATGTGTGCATGTATGTTTAGGTATAAATATGACTGCTGGGACTGGAAATCTAAAAATAAAGTGGATGAGTACAGTCATTTTTGCACTCCTAAAATCAGGTTTGTCAATGTGATGGATAAAGGCATGCTCTAGCAACCAAATGCCTGGCTTCTCTCATTTGTAACCTTTTTAATACTCCTATGAAGGCGATGTGTACTATATGTTCTCTATGGACCTGCTGTGAAATCTACGTTTTGCAGACAGCCTTGTTGTTACTACCTTACCTTGTAGTTACGCCTTCTTCTACATTTGTGTACCTGTCCTCAGTTTCTGTTGGTAGAGGAGCTTGTCTAGCCAGGCACCCAAACAGCTGTTACAGAAGATGATGTCATGCCTTTAAATCCTGGATAGCATTGATGTCTTCCATGGTGTGACACCAAATCTTTTGAAGTATCACTCTGTTCCGGGGTGCGGCGTGGCTCTGGAGCCAGAGGGGCTTACATAGGGTCCTATTCCTGCAGGGGGCAAACCTGCACTCATGACACACACTGTAACTCGGTATTCAAGTGAAATTCCCCCTTTTCCCCCGTGAGTCTCCAGGAACCCTCCAGGATAAAGTACTGGCATGCGAAGGGTTAAGAGTTCTCACACACTCAATCTTGCTGGAGAGGAAATGTCTAAGAAGAGCCAGCCGTGGAAAGGGGAAATGTGCAGCCGATTGTGCGCAATGAGGAAAACGAAGTGTTAAAGTTAATACCCAGCCTGGGAGTGTCAGAGGCATCCTGTGCATAAGAAAACTTCCTGTTTGACATGTTGACTGCAAAACAACAGGCTACGAGTGAAGACATGGTGGAGTTCATATTCTGAGATCAAAAGTTTACTTTTACACTTGCACTGGTTCCCTGCCCTCTGCCTCCCTGCTCTTGTTACATCAGGCAGGTG